AGGGGGGATGGTGAAGAAGAAAGGGGAGGGGGCTAAAGGAAAAGAACAGAGGTTTGAGAAGAAGAAGAAGACATGGTGGGGGATGTCTGACGCAGAGGGAGTTGGAGAAGAAGAAGAAGGGGGTGGAGGGAGTATATTCGAGCTTGGGTTTGACGAGAGAAGAAGAAGAAGAAGAAGAAGAAGAAGAAGAAGAAGAAGGGGGTAGGGTAGAGAGAAAAAAGGGTAAAATGGTAAGTTTAAGTGTGTTTTATTTCTATTTTAAAATGGAGGGAGTAAATTTTTCCCATACTGGAATTCAAAATTTTAAAAATTCAAAAAATTGCATATTTCAATTACAAATAAATGCTTGCAATCATTCCAATATTACACCTATACTACCCACATTTACTCTACTTTAATGTGAGGTTTGAATTTCCCCATTATAAAATGTTGTGAACATGTTTAATGCTGCCTATTATTACATTTAAACAACCTACCACCTGCCTATAAAAGCATACACTCTTGAATTCTTCATTCATATTCTACATTACACACTAGAATAATACAATAAAACTTCTACCAAAAGACCATAATTTACATATGCAATGTTCTGACTATTTACTTCTCTGAATTCTGTGTGTATTTAGTTCTCTCACGTCTCAATTCAACATCACATCGCTTCCGCTTCCAATGAACTAAACTTCTAAATCCAAGTCTTGGCAACAAATTGGTGATTGTCAGTTATCATCTTTTGCACTGGTGTTGAAAGGAAGTTCGTGGCCTCCTCTTAATACGAAATTTGTGGCACGCTACAATTTCTACCAGGTAAACCCTTGTTCATGACTCCCTCTTTAAAATGAATATTTTTGGAACATTCAATTGAATGTGTGGATGAACTCTTAAAGGATATCATCGGAACAACCAATCTAGTTGGTGGCAAAGTAATTGTATTTGGAGGGGATTTAAGACAGACCTTACCCGTTGTCAAAAGAGGAACAAAAGAAGACATTATAGCAGGTAAACCCTTGTTCATGTCTTCATGACTCTCTCTTTAAAATGAATATTTTTGGAGTTTGCGAGTTTCGTTGAAATGCTCTATTTTACGATCTGGCCAATCCCTTTTACTGTAGAATGCACATCCCGTGATTGCTAATCAGACTTGCTTCCTTTGATCATTGGGTTCTCATTGGGTTGTCGCTCTGATACCAATTGTTAGACATGATCGAATCAAAGCAAAATAGAGTATTTTTTGTGTTGAACTTGTACATGATTCTTTGTGTTCTTGAATATAAATAGAGAAAAAACTGACACAACTTTTACAAACTATCCAACTATTTTTTAAAAGTTAATGAAATATGTAAAACACACTAAATTTATATTGTAGAATGCCCACCCCCTGATTGGAAATCAGACCTGCTTCCTTTGATCACTGGGTTCTCATTGGATTGTCTCTCCGATACCAATCGTTAGACATTATCAGATCAAATCAAAATAGAGTATTTTATTTTGTTATACTTGTACAAGATTCTTTGTGTGCTTGAATATAAATAGAGAAAAAACTGACATAACTTTTACAAACTACCAAACTTTTTTTTAGGATTAATAAAATATGTAAAACATACTAAATGATACCATACTAAATCACCCAAACATTGACTCATTACCCATTTGATTATATGTGAACAAATCCAATTAAATCTAACATGGTTCAATTTGGTCCTTTGCTTATTTGGATATTTTGTACACTTAAGATATGATTAAAGCTACATGTTTTCATGTTTGTTCTGCCCATTCAAATTGTTGTGTGGAATCACTCTCCATGCTATTTACATTCTTCAGAGAAACATTTTGTATAAAAAACTAGAATATAAAAAACCAAATGTATTAAAAATATATCTACAAATTAGGGGAAAGTATTTAAAAGTTAGTTTCAAAACATTAAGTTTAAAAAGTTTGTGCAGTTGGAGCCAGGGTCGCTTGGAAACAACCTCTCTACTTCTGAGTAGGTGCTAGGTCTGCGTACACACACCATCCCCAGACCCTACTCTAGTGGGATTCAACAGGGTTGTTGTTGTTGTAAGTTTAAAAAATCAAATCAGTCAAGTTTAATTATTAGATTATCTTTTGTTTTCCATTACATTGTTGTGTCATTAGATATAAACATGAAATCATGATAAACATATAACAATAATGAGGGTTCTTACTTAAAAAACAGAGAAAGTTGGAAATATTGGGATAAAATTTAATTGTAAAATTATTATAAAAAATGGTACCCCACGCTATGTTACTTGTACTATTGTCTCTTTTCCCTGATTTGGCTGCACGCTCTTTACTCGTGAAGATCGATCAAAGTATGGAATTTATATAACAATGGGTACCGTGGGTGTAGACCGGAGATGCATTTTGGTCTTTTGGATTTTTGTCTTTCCACGGGAATTGATAGCAATATATTTCCCTTACTGGTGCATTTCTTATGCAGTCTTCGTCTCTCTCTTGCTTTACATTCTTCGTCCGTAACTGGTGTACTTTTTGATATCTTCTGTATCCATATAAATAACTATCTGCATACATTAATCTACGTTATGCACTTGATCCGTCTTGAAATAAATTTTACTTTTAGTATTTCCACAATTACACGCTTTAAGTTTATCCTCTTTCCAAACCTATTTTTGTTAATCAATTGTTCAAAGAAAATTCTCATATCATCCCTTGTGTTATAGACCTTTTGATATAGTTCTAAAATATTCGGTGTTAACACATTTTATTTTTTCATCATGCACCAATAATCAGATATATGGCATATAAGATAAATTCGATCAAACATTGTGTACCATTTTTGCAACTTTATTAAGGAATAGCGAGAGTATTTTGGAGCACAGATTAAGTTTAAAAATTAAATTTTGTTCATGGAAAATCATGTAGGGTGTGCTGAGTGTCTTTGTGAATCACTTTGGTGGTACTTTCCTTCCTATTTTCATAAATTACAAACATTCTAAAAGATATGGCATATTCATAAACATCAGCAAAAGCATTTTTTCTTAAACATCAGCAAAAGCAAATTTAAGAAATCATACGAGAATATCAGGTTCTTCGGTTGAATGTTAGTTATATTCTATTGTATGCAAGGCACCTGATTCTTTCTAGCAAGTAAACTGCTCATTTCATATACTCTCTCTGTCCAAAATTAATGTTCCCACTTTGACTTGGCACGCAGTTTTAGGTGGAGTAAAATTGGGGTTGACTTCCCCAAAATACCCCTCCTCTTCCGTCACTCAGCCAGCCTCCCTGCCTTATTCCTCCTCCCAAAATCACCGTTCATCCTCCTTCAACTCAACACCGTTCCTTCTTCAACTCACTATTCTTCCTCCAACCCAACACCACCCAAAATCATCGTTTACCTCCGTCCTCACAAGCCGGTCCGTACACCTTCCGGCCTCCATCACATCCACATCTCTGTACATTTTCGATTAGATCTTTGTCGCCGTTGCTCATCGTCAAGCAGCTCTATCAAACCTCCACTACCGTTGCTCCATGTCGAGCAGCTCCATAAAATCTCCAGTGACATCAGATCTTCGGTGGTCAGATCTTGGGAAAGAGAAAGAAATTGAAGAATTTGAGGGAATATAATGCTTGTATGTCCCCAGGTACGAAGAAGGAGAAGAAGAATTGAAAAAGGGGAAAAAGAATTGAAGAAGGAGAAGAAGAATTGAAAAAGGGGAAAAAGAATTGAAGAAGGGGAAGAAGAAATGAAGAAAAAAGAAGAAAAAAGAAGAAAAAGAAAGTGGAGAAGAAGCACAGAGGAAGAAGAAGGGGCTGTGTAGAGAAGTTGACGAAATGGAGAATGAAAAAAAGATAAGATTGTGATGGGTGGTTGTAAATCAGCACCGGGGATTTTTAGAGATTTCAAGGGTATCTTAGTCATTTTACACTTAAAATTTTGCCAAATAAGGAAATGGGAACATTATTTATGGACGGATTAAAAAGGAAAGTGAGAACTTTAATTTTGGACGGAGGGAGTATTTTGCTTTTCCTATGATGCTTGCATATATAAATTTAAATTTTGATTGATTCTCTAGGCTACAGGTTACTTATAAACCAGTCCTAACTCTATTTCAGCTTTCCTTTCCTCTTGTATCCTCTGATCTTGGAGCAGCTAATCTGGAGAATAAATTCATATTAAATAATCTGCATCTATCCCAGGTAAATCATTAATAACCTCTTTTTAATTTAATGCTTCAAGTCATTTAGACTTTATAAGTGCATGTTGTTGCTGGAGTTTGAAAAGAAAATAGCTCCTTCTGAATGCAATATCAGGTTCATAAAAAAATCAACAAATGCTAGCTAATGAGCAAGGCCCCCTCTTGCTTGATAATGAGGCATTCAATGCCGCAACTGTTATTGATTCGTGCATTTTGAGGCTTATCGTGTCTAGTTGCTATGGTATTCCACCGATGATTTCAAAGCTACCGTATGCAAAGACTTTTTAGGGTTTCAAAAACACTGCATTGCATATCTATTTCACTCTCTAGAAGAAATTTGTGGTTGTCTTATCATACTGTTTGATTATATGAAATATCTTATTTTCATTCTCTTTATTCTTCTGCAAGAAAAAAAAATACTATCCTTTTATATACAATCCTAAAGACAATCTATCCATATGGATAGGCTCAGAATTGAATATGTCTGTACCCCAAGTATATAATACAACTAAATCAAATTAAACAATACATATTGAATTTTTATTCTACTTCAGTAATTTAATTTGAAATAGGTGCCTCACTAACATAATTTTTAGTTCTTCTCTTCACTAAGTGAATATAATAGTCATTTAATTGAATCTAAAAGCAATTTTCAGTCAAAATATGTGAATGCTTATGCTTCAAATTACTCGGTATATAACCTTCATAGTGATACCATTCGCTTGAAGTACAGAATAGTAATGCAAAAAATGACAGGTTTCATCTTAGTACTTTGAAAAAAAAATGTTTTCTCCCTTTAGGTGGGACATTCTAACTTTTAGCAGAAGATGCTTTTTGTTGTTATAGTGCATTCTTTTACTATGCAGGCCTCACAAATAACATAGAGACTTAGTTGGCCTATTATATGCACCTATCATGTCCAATTTAACCATACAATTGATCAATTATTATAAATCAGTCCAAGTTTACCTATTTAACAAATAATACACAATTAAGCTTCAAATAGTATTAAAACAGAAGTTAATAAGTATATCAAAAGATAACAAAGTTAGATCAAATATACGACTTATCAGGAGGTGCCATTCTTCAACTTTCTCTGACTTATTGGCCTTGAATCATTTGTCCTCTTTCTCTTTTTATATACATGGCCAGTGTAGGGGGTCTTCAATATATTACTTCATTTCTTCTCCCAGCAGCCTCGACCCAATTCCTGGATGTTAAAGTAAGATGCCAAGGATAGATAAATTCAATAAAACTTAACCTACTACGTACCTCTGCAGCAGCAACTTCACGCTCATCTATCAGTTCTCTAAACTGTTCATCACTGAACTCAGTGTTCTACTCATAATATTTAAGGAATACGTATTAAGCAGGCTCATAACAAATAATATTAAAATATGATCTTATTACCTCATCAACATTGTCTAAAGTTGATTTGCACTACTCCACAACATCATGGACAATTTTATTACTTATTTCCTGATCATCCTGTTGGTCCTCTCCATTCTCCCTCGCGCAACATTCTTCGGGTTCGTGATCAATGGAACATGATACCTAAAAGGAACGTTCAAAAAGAAAATAATCGATAAAGACAAGTTGACCTATTAAGAAAGATCGACCAACACGTCGACCTCTTAACCTTACATTCAGTAGATTCAGTTGACTCGCAACCATTTTTTCTTCCTCCAAAACTTCCTGATAAATAGAAAAATAATTATGCTTAAGATGGGAAAGGAATCATGGTTGTCAAATCGCCGCCTAGGCCACGACTAGTCGCCGACTAGTCGTCCAAGCGATTTTGCCATGGCGATTTGCTCTCCGACTGGCGCCTAGGGCCGACTAGGCTACAAAGCGACACTTAGTCGCAATTATGCGCCGCCTAATCGATGAAAGAATCTGGCCAAATTTGACCTAATCCATTTGACCCGACCCGACCCGACCCGAACTTCATTAATTTTTGATTTTTTTTATAAAACACGCCTCTTCGACGTAGTCCATCCACAACCGACAGTCTGGGGTGTTGCGACTCTTCAGTTCCAGCAGTAACTAACTTCTGTGACTTCTAGGCTTCCAGCGACTCTCCTCCTTCAGCGATTCTCCTTCAGCGGCTCTCCTCCATGGGCAATATTTCTCAATGTTTACTTTGTAATCATTAAAGTATACTCTTTATTGATTTAATTTTCATTGATTTGGTTCATTAAACTATAAAGTATAATATACTTTTAAATTTTCAGTTTTCTTCTGATTTCTTAATATTTCAGTTTTTTTCTTCTGATTTCAGTTAATATTTTGGTTTTTTTCTTATTCTAGTGTTTTAGTATTTCAGTTTTTTTTTCAGTTTAATATTTCAATTTTTTTTCTAAATTCAGTTAATATTTTGGTTTTGTATTTCTTATTTTAATATATATATATGTATGTATGTATGTATGTATGTATATATATATATATATATATATATTCATGTTAGATTAATGTAGATATATATAATGTTAAAATTTTCAATACTAATTGTGATTTGTCAACTAGTCTACGACTAGTCGCCTAGTCCACTAGTCTCCCCGTCACCGACTCGACTCGACTTGTCAACGTAACAACCATGAAAGGAATGCTCACAAAGACGTACAATACAAAAAATATAAAGTATATCAAAAACATTTACAGATCGACGATGTGGTCAACTCATACCTGATCATATGTCGATACCATGTTTGGTGGACTCCCATCCATGTTTTCTTCCTTTCTTATTTCCTCAGGTACTCCTGATGGGTCGAATTTTTTCTATCCAAACTCATCTTTTTCTTCCTTCATTCCCTCGTCATCATCATCTTCCTTCACTCCCTCTTGCTCTTTGTCATCATCTTCTTCCTTCATTTCCTCCTTGTCATCATCACCATCTACCTTCCCCTCGTCACCCCTTCCTTTCATGGTCTCATGTAAGGTGTTGAGAAACTTTTTTTAAAGTTTCTTAAACTCCCTCTCCATGACACTCTGAACTTCTCTCTTCACTTCTCGATAGAGCATTTCCTGAAGCTCAGAAAATTTCTCATCCATAAAATCTTTCATATTAGTAGGGGATGTTTTCACTAGCTGTTCCACCAACAAATTAAACGTTCCTATTTTTTATGACAAACGGAGGGCTTTGCTTCTTCTATGAGAAGGTTTGCTTCTTCTGTGTAAGAGTTTATGGCTGTGATGATTTTGAAGAAACGAAATCTGTTTATGAGATCTTTAGTCTCTTTAAGTTTGAGGCATCGTAGGAATGAACGTATCTTGGTGTGGCACTACAGAATTAAACGTTGTTGCAGCCATGGCGAATTCGTTTCTAATGACTCAAGCGCAAAACTAATTTCAAATCTGGGCTAAAACGGTGGTTAATTCGGTAACGCCACACCATATCGCGTCGGTTTCTTCAATGCCTCAAACGAACATAGCCTGAAATGTATCCATTTTACTCCGGTGTGAATGAGTTTATGGCTGTGCTGATTTTGAAGAAACAAAATCCTGAGATTTTTAGCCTTTGTTCATATAAGAAACGAATGTATCTTGGCGTGGCATTTCGGATTGAACCGTTGTTGCAGCCATGGCGAATTCGTTTCTTATATGACTCAAGCCCAACACTGGGTTTCAAATCTGAGCTAAAACGAATTTAGGCTTTTATTTTTAGGCTTCCCAATTCTGTAACAGTGATTTTTAGGCTCTTTTTGTTTGAGGCAGTGAAGAAATCTGAATGTAACTTGGCGTTGTGTTACCTTACTAACCACCATTATACCAACCATGGCAATTTGGTTTCTTAGATTGCCTCATGTGTATCAATTTTGTGTGGGTTGATAAGAAATCACGGGTGTTCAGATTTTGAATTTATGAAATTAATTACTTTGATTTTCAGGTTTTTAAAGTTTGAGGCATTGAAGAATTGAATGCAACTCGGGAAGGGGAGACGGTCGATGACGGCGGCGTCCTCGCCTGGCGACGGCGCTCGGCGGCATTCGGAGTTACAAGGCCCAAGGTACGAGTCACACTCTTCCGTTCGACTTTCCCCTTCCCGCCGGCGTGCGGGAGCTGCGATGAAGGCAGCACCGATTTTCGCCCCTCCTTCCTCTGTTTCTAGTTCTTTCCAATATCGAGGTGTGAATCGTTGCCCAAATATCTATCGTTAGTTTTAATTCGTAGATTAGGATCGTGTTTGTATTAATTTTGCATTTGATTGTGAAATTTGGGTTGTTTGTTTGTTGAAATTGTTGGGGACTGATTTGGGGTTAACTGGGGACTATTTTCGGCGACTCGTCGGCATTTGGCCGGCGGTGGCGGCGGCCTTTGTATGGGACCGCCCCGGCGGGTTCAATTGGGACCCAATTGGTCCGAGTTGGATCCAATTGGTTCAATTGGGTCAACTCGGGTCAAAATTGAGTTGGTGCTTGTGCAATTGGGTTCCGATTGGACTGATTCCTGTGTAAACTGTTCGGTTAGGGAATCAATGGGGGCTGTCCGGGTCGTTGGGCTTGCTGTCCGGGCTCCCAGGCCGGCTGTTTGGGTCAGTTGGTGGGGCTGCCCGGGCCGGTTGACCGGGCTGTTTGGACCGGCAGTGAGGGGCTGCCCAATTGGGGCAGCAGGTTGGGTTTTCCGGGTCGGTCCGGCGGGTTGTCGGGCTGATCTGGTTGTAATTGGTACTGTTCCGGCGAGTGCAGCGGGCTTGAGGATAAATCTTTAGTCCCGAGTTCGCGACACAGGTAAGTTATTTTAATATTGTTGAGTTAAATCTTGTTGTTTGAGCATGACGGTAATCGGTGAGAAGTGATTCTTTCGATAGGCCGCTGAGTGTTTGTTCTGTTATGAAAATGTTTAAGTGATTGTTATCATTTGAGAACTCTGTTGAAAATTGGCCACCTAGTATACCTAGGCAGATCTGAACTGAATTGGATAGTTTAACCACCAATAGGACTGTTGTTAGGTTCGGGCCTTGTGGAGCATGCTTGCAAATGCAGTGGCCTAGGGTTCAAAACGTACGTACGGGAGTCACTGTCCTACCCATAGTCACATAAATCGCGGTACGCTTCGGTACGGGTACGCGGTACGGGTACGAAATTCGCTAGATGTAACGAATTCGGTACGAACCCCATCCAAGTAAAGCCATGCTTCACCATGCTTCGCCATGCCACATGGTACATAAGCCAAGCCACATGGTTTTCAGTTTTGTATTCATTTGTTTTTATCTATTCTACTCGTATTCACGTATTGTAATGTTTTAGGTTAACTTTTTCACTTTTTGTTCTGTAGTAGATTTTATAAGATTAGATCTGCGACGGAAAAAGGTCTCCCATTGTCAAAGCCTTCATCATCAAGGTCTTCCCAAACCATTTCTTCAAGGCGAGCACTTGAACCTTCTATGCATAGTTGTCATGGCGCATGGCAACATTCATGGCGATGGGCCAATATCGCATGGCGATGGCGATGGCGCATATATGGCGTTGCCACAAAACACTAGCCACAGAATATTAATTTACTAATATTTGCACATGTATAAGGAATAAATTCTATAAAAAACAATAGATTACTTGATCTAAAAAGTGAAGTAGTAAAACACAAAAGAGAAGTCACTCCAAATCCAAAACACTCTAAGGGTCCATGGTGCCAATAGTAAAACAACACAACTTAATCAAAACTTAAAAATAATTCAAAAATTAAAAGTGAAAAAAATATATTAAAGTGAATAACCTTTGAAAATATTGGCAGTATAATCAACTATAATACACAGTACTTTGCATTACTTTAAATAGATAAAGGAAGAAAAGCTTTCAAAAAAAAAAAAGAAAAAAAAAGTATACTGATGGGTTAAAAAAAAGAAAAACGAAGTACTTACCCGATATTTCCCGTGTCGCCGTCAATTGCTTTGGTGAGTCGCAAGAAGAGTCGCGACCAGAAGAAGAAGACGAGACGAAGAAGAAGACGATTGGGAATTGAGGCTTGGCGGTTTTTGAGCGTCGATTGGGAATCGATTGGGAAGATTAAGGGGCTGGAGACTACTAATTAAAGTATTAATTTCTTAATTGGGCCTAATTTTTTGGGTTTGGGTCGGGTTAAATTAAAAAAATGGCGCAAGAATGGCGATGGCGTGTCGATGGCGCAGATTTGGCGCTGCCACGAGTCAATCGGCCGCCACGACCCAATTTGTGGCGTTTCCGCTGCAGATCGCCAAAGGCGCATCTATGGCGCACGCCATTTGCGCCATTGATAACTATGCTTCTATGTATGTATTTTCAGGATTCACGTCCCAGTTTTTGTGAGGGCCTGATTTGTAGGACTCTGAAAAGCGCGACTGAAGTCGAATATTCGAGTGAATAAACACAAGTTTATCGGCTCTCTTGCTATTCAAGCGATTCCTCTTGACATTATGGATATAGGAGTATGTACTCCAGTTTCTCTCTGCAGAAGAGCTACTAATTGGTTGAGACAAAACTTTCTTAGCTATTTCCGCCAATTCAGGAGTCTCTGATCCATATGTTGCCCACCAATCAATTGGATCCATTGTCACGGCATCAGCTTGTGTTGCTGCTCTAGAGTAAATCCCTTTCTTCATATGAAAGGTTGCAAATTGTTCTCTTAATACCTTATCTTCATGAGCATCTTCAGCAATTCTTTGAAATGCATCCATAACACCAAGTACAACTTCTTTGTCATCGTTTGGTGCTTTTCTTGCCATGCCACCAGGAGCCAACTTCTCTAAGTAGTATTTATCATAAAATCTTGGATTTAAAGCAAAACCCAAACAATGAAGTGGGATTGTNTCTGTTCGCATTTTTTCATCCCCACTTTTGACCCATTCCCTCCAAGAATTGAGGACTATTGTGGTGGAAAGTGCCTCTCTACAATCCATTAACCTTCTCAAAAGTATATAATGTGATGCAAACCGTGTTTTTGCCACCTTCAATAACTCCAACTTTGAGTTTCCTCTAAAGAATGACAAGGCATGGGTATGGTTGAGAAAATATTTTACAATTGTCTTGCCTTGCTTATACGTGTTGAGCAGCCATGAGAACTTCTTTGCCATGTCTTTAAAAATTAGATTTAAGGTGTGCACACAACAAGGAGACCAAAAGATATGCTTATATACCTTCTCGATTTCCCTCCCGGCTGCTTTACAATTAGCCGCGTTATCAGTTACAACTTGTCAGACATTGCTTGGTCCAATGGTCTCGATGGCTCCAGGAAGAAACTTAGAAATATCACCACCTGTTTTTTCCACCCCTAAAAAGTCCTCTGCATACATAAACATTGCACCACGTGAATTGACACCAAGAACCACTACGTCAAAAACAGATGCTGACAACTGTTCTTTTTAGTAGTCTAACTGTGCAAGTTTTAGTAGTCTTCCGAGCAGCTGTCTGATATATTTACAGACTACTGTTCAAAAACAATTGTGTAATACAGTTGACGACACCTATTTTGTGATGTTTCAGAATACATGTTTTTGAAGTTGTCCTCGTATGAGTAAAACATCTGTTTTCTAGAGTTAAAGACAATTGTGATATTTTGTTGTGTATTTATAATGAATATTACTGTTGTTTTCGACTTCAGACTCCTATTGCGTGGTGTTGTCGTTCAACAATATAAACATCTAATTTCAAAAGTAGTTGAAAGATATATCAGACTGCTGCTTGGAAGACTACTAAATAAAAATAGCATCAAACAACTCTTATCTTGTGTTATATTTCAAAAATGTAGACTACTAATTTTGTTGTATTTTAAACAACCGTTTCTTTCACTTATATAGTGCTCAATAACACTACGTTTTTTTGTAGTTGTCATTGAAATATTCAAACTACCTTTTTACATAGTAGTCAGATTGTAATTCAGACTACTGCTCCGAAGACAACTAAATATGTTTGCATAAGACAACTACTACTCTGTGTTGTATTTGTAAAATGTAAACAACTATATTTGTTGTATTTCACACAACTGTTTATTTCTATTGTCTAACGTTTACTAACAGTCCAGGTTTGTGTAGTTGTCCTTAAATGATTTAGAAAACTGTTTTAATACATTATAAAGCTATTTGAGAGACTACTATATTTCAATTTAAATTTATATTTAATAAATAAAATTTATTTCAATTCCAAAATAATGATCATGAAACAAAAATAAATTCTAAAATATAGAATATATTCAATAATATTTAAATACATACAATCCAAGTCTAAATAATTTCCAATAATTTAATATTTACATAATTAAAGTCACTCTAATTGTCCATTCAGCATGCCTGATTTAGTTATTTGTCCCCTCAATAACATTTTTGAATACATCTCTTGCTCTAGCAACATTTTCTTGTAACGCATCCACTTTAGTCCTCAATCTGCATACCATTAAATAATTAAAATGAATGTTTGTTAATAACAAGAAAGAGTTCACAACAAAAATACTTGAAATTTTTTGGAGTTATTCGCTAGCTAAATAACTCCAAAGTAGTTCATATACATCTATTTAAAAATTGAATTGAAGTTCATAATTCAGCTTAGAAATCAAGCAAAGCTGCAGATTTTTCTAAATAAAAAAGAATTCAGTTTAGATGAATACAAGTAATTGCGGCACTAGTGATAATTTATGCACAAGATGACAGATGAAGATGACAAAGTTACTTTTTGAGATTTTAAAAGTCATAAGCATGTTTA